TACACAACTCGATCTTAATTCGAATTATCGTTTATTTCGAATTATTCGTTTTATTCGTTTTATTTCGAATTATTCGAATTGTTATCATTCGTTTATTATTCGAATTGTTATCGTTCGTTTATTATTCGAGTATTTGTCGTTCGTTTTATTATTTGAATTGTTATCATTCGTTTATTATCAGCATTCATTTATCGTTTATTATTCAAATTGCTATCATTCGTTTATTCGCATTGTCGGCATTCATTTATTCGAATTGTCAGCATTCGTTTATTCGAATTGCTATCATTCGTTTATTATCCGAATTGCTATGATTCGTTTATTATCGAATTATTATCTTCTTTTATTCGAATTGCTATGATTCGTTTATTATCGAATTATTATCTTCTTTTATTCGAATTATTCGTTTTTATTTCGAATTATTCGTTTTATTTCAAATTGTTCGTTTATTCGTTTTATTCAAACTGTTCGTTTATTTGAATTACTCGGTTTATTTGAATTACTCATTTTATACGAACTATTCAGACTATTCGAATTTGTCCATTTATTTAGAAATATTCGAACTATTTGAATTATTCGAACTATCCATTTATTCAATTTATTCGTTTATTCGTTTTATTCGAATCATACATTTAATAGTTTTATTCGAATTGTTTATTCGTTTTATTTGAATATCGAGTTATTCAGTATTCATTTTATTAGAATAGACTTTTAATTCGAATACTCAAATTCATAATAATAATAATAATAGAAATAATTCGAATCAAGCGGTACAGTCGTATATAACGATTTTAGTTTGAACATTATTGGTTAAAGATATGCCAAATTTGGTAACTCTGTAATAAATAACTCGGATTGCACGCTCGCAATATTTATAGGCTGTAAATAATTATAGCATTACGGTTTTACGATCTATGTCTTTTACGACTTTAGGGTGATTTGCTGTAATTCTTTTTTTAATTTTTGTGTGCTACATATTTGTTTTTGAATTTACGAGTATAGGGACATTCAGTATGGTATAACTCTTGCAAAACGTATGGTATGGTATTGTT